TTAATGGAATCTGGAAATAAAGGAAAGAATCATTTAAAAGCAGAAAATCAAGATAGCTGTCCTTGGACATTTTCTGAAGTCAGTGTACATATGAAACAGCAAGATAAAAGTGAAGAAAACAATACCAAGGATCTTGAAGATTAGAAGTGAGCATTTTCAAGCACTTTTTAAAAATGGACAATATGTGACCAAAGACTTTTGAGGACAGTGGTGATTCACTGCCTAGAGCTAAGATATAATCAGCATAATATGAATAGTTTGAAGGTGTGGGAGATGAAATTGTTAAGTGTCGATTTCTTCAGAAAGTCAGTTTTCCTTTTAATACAATAGCTATTTGCCCCGCAATGTCAACTCTTCCATCGTTACGCAGTGAAATCTTCAACTCTCCTCCACGGCGGGAACATTGAAAAGCTAAATGGAAACAAGAATCCACAGTTAAAAAACTAGCATCTATCACAAATTATTTAAAAATCCATGAAAATTCAGGGAAATGAGGCCTCTGTCTCCAGAAAGCAAGCAGCACCAGGGCAAGCACTGTACCAGGAACACTCTAGATGAATTGTCTTTACGGATGAAGATTAGCTGAGGGCGTATCTCAGCCTAGAACTTGTCTATTGAGTCTGACAAAGATGTGAGTTAATATGAGTAGCGAAGGATAGTTTGCTGTGATGTAGCCAACCAAGTTTCCTTTGCTGTATCTAAAGAAGTCTTGAATTCTCCCATTCATGGGACAGACAGTTTCTGTAGGTAAGAAGGAAGAACACCGAGTATTATCTGCATAAGAATGAAGAACCACTTTACCGGTATTGAACACCTGAAGCAGATACTAGGTTCAAAGAATGTGTGTAGCTAAGGGGTAAATAAAACTCAAGCAGCCAGTGGAAAAAGTCTACAAAGAAACACAGATGCTGCTTCAGCTGTCACAAACTGAGACCAAATTTTTACACAGACGAGAACAGATATTCATTTATATAATCCTGAATACATCATTTAATACAGCTGGATAAAGTTTAAATAGAAATAGCTTTCCACTTGTAAATAATTACAAAACTAAACTTCTGCCTAAACTGTTTAGTCATATACAGGTGGGATGATAATGCTCATTTAGCATGTTGAGTCTGTAGACTTGTTCAGTAATCCAATTTTAGCTGTACAACTACTTGACCAGAAAATGGTCTGGTTCAGATGGCATTTAGCAAAGGTTTGAGTTTCATATAGTGTTGTTTTTGTAAAAGGCTGTAAATGGATGACAAGAAATTCATGTTCACAGTCTCCTTACTCAGTGAATTTCCAACTACTAAAAAAGTTGTTCAAAGCCAAAGAGCATGTTTTTCCTCACAAACCCACAATTTGTAAATTGGGTAAAGATTATATTCAGATCCCGACAGAGCATAGGATCTCTAACAGATGGCATATATACAGTACACTTTAAAACAATTTCTCAGCCACAGCTAACAAGAAACCTCTTCCTTATAACAAGATATTAGATTCTCAGAAAAAGCAAACACTCCAAAACGGTGGAAACAGCAGGTATAGAAAGATTGATATTGATACTTCGGGTTCTTTTCCATTTATAGAACTACCAGTTATTGTTTTTAACTTGTCAGAATGACATCTATGTACAGAGTAATGCCTTCAGTTGGAGTATTTTGGACACTTAAAGATCCAGACCATGCTAAATTTGATCAATTATTATTGCCAAGTGGGGATACACAGCTAAACTCTCCTACGCCCTCCTGATAGTAGACTTAAATAAAAGAGATTAATTATTTCAAATCTTCAAAGGTTGGTTGGGGGTTTTTTCTTTCTTTAAATGTGGAACCAGTGCTGTCTGTTTCATGGCAGGATTACTGAGACTGTTTTGATACTGGCTCATTTTATTTTAAAGAAACCTTCAAAGTAGAGGAAAAGAAGGAAAATAAAAAAAAGAAAAAAAATTTTACCCAAGCTTATATGAAAATAATATTTGATCTTTTCCTTCTCTCATGCAGACACATTGATATTTCACACAGACCTGCATGGAACATTTCAATAACTAGAGGATTTCATTTAATAGCAACGTCTCCAGAGACATTCAAGCATCTCTGATGTGCACTCGTGTTTTGGATCACAAAGTTGCCGCACATCCATTCCACGTCTGTATTTACTAGGAGTATCTGGTACTATGTATACATTGGTAAAAAAACAAATAGGTACATTCTGATCTGTACAAATAATACATAACAGCTGAATTCACAGTGCCCTGAATTCCTCTGTGATTAACTTGAGACAGAGGCAAGTTTAAGAGTAGGTACAAGGACTGTGAGATTGAGCATGCTGATATTACAGAATCATAGAATCATGTACCACTGCATTCACAAGATGGCCACTGGCCTTGTATGAACATTATCCTGTTGTTTTGAGGAGCTGCTTCTCAGCCTAGATGTATCTAAACGACCATTGCTTACAGAATTTGAGGAGTAATGGATTTTCTTCATGATGTCATCATAATGACATCAACTCAGGAACAAGTGCCACTCTTGTGAAAATAACTATTTTTAGAAATCACCATTATCTTGGTTAAATTTCTAAATCCTATATAAAAGGACTGATGAAAGGAACACTTGTTCCTTAAGTGAAGTTACGATCGCCAAGACTTTTTTTTTATTCTAGGAAAGAAGGTGGATAAATCTGGTGATCGATGGAAGGAAACAGCTCTCCTTTGGCAGAAGTGTTACACTTGTGTATAAATCTGATGTGGCCAATCTATATGTTGAGATTACCTGGGAAAAATGAAAGCTGCAATTACAACTCTGCAAAACTCTTCGCTTCATGAGAATTCAAATTAGCAAAAACTTAAATACAGGCAGATTTAGTCTACCTGAATAAAGCAGCTTCTTTACCAAAAAAAAAAAAAAAAAAGTGAGGAGACTAAAAAGTTAGAAGATGGGACAGACTTTGTGTTGAAAGAACACAAAAAAAAAATTTGTAAAATTTGTGAAAGTATGATCTTAGAGTTATCAAAGTAAGGTTTGTTTTTTGTATGGGTTTTGTGCCCCCCCCAAATGCTATAAACCTGTTCTCTACTGGGAAGGAATCAGAGAAGTTAAAGGCAGTAACAAGAACCTAAATTTCCCCTCGAATTATTAAGTAAACAGGTACAGAAAGATTCCTCTAGCTTCACCTGAGACTAAAAATTGTCCTGAATAAAGCCTCTTCACAATAATTTGGAAAGTCCTCTATAATCCCTTTCATTATATTGAATTCCTTATGCATGTTTATAAATGTTATCTTAGAAATGAGAAAACTATGTGAAGGGCTGGACACAGAGACAGATGCTAAATATTGCATTCATTAGCAATTATGAAAGTCTATACATCTGAGAGATTATAATTTTTTAAATATTGCAGAGACTCTTCAAATGAAAAAAGGGCAAGGACTGATACTGAACTCTGACCTAACACACAGCTTAAATTTAAGGAGATGTACACAGTTTCAAGAAAGATCATAAAGTATTTCACCTTGTAAAAAGACTGGAAAATTCTCTTTGTAGTTGATGGGGTTGGTTGGTTGACAATTTGGTCTAAAAAAAGTAGGAAGAGAACCCAAACACAGGAAATTATGTCTGATACTTCAGCAGAGATGCAGCTGACCTCCTCCAACACCTAGAGAGATCTGCCAATAGATTTAACATTCCTCATTTTTATATTATTTCATATCTGATCTATTTTGGAACTAACAGATCTTTCATTTTACAGAATAAAATCTTCCTTTATTCTTGCAATAAAAGGTATCGGATATTACAGAAGCTACCTGTGCTGGTTCTGGCTGGGGTAGAGTGAATTTTCTTCATAGTAGCTAGCATGGGGCTATGTTTTGGATTTGTGCTGGAAACAGTGTTGATAACACAGGGGTGTTTCAGTTCTTGCTGAGCAGTGCTTACACAGAGCCAAGGCCTTTTCTGCTTCTCACCCCACCCCACCAGCGAGGAGGCTGGGGGGGCACAAGAAGTTGGGAGGGGACACAGCTGGGACAGCTGAGCGCAACTGGCCAAAGGGCTATTCCATACCATATGACGTCATGCTCGGCATATAAAGCTAGGGGAAGAAGGAGGAAAGGGAGGACATTCTGAGTGATGGCGTTTGTCTTCCTGAGTAACCATTACACCTGGGGATGGCTGAACACCTGCCTGCCGATGGGAAGCAGTGAATGAATTCCTTGTTTTGCTTTGCTTGCGTGTGCGGCTTTTGCTTTACCTATTGAACTGTCTTTATCTCAACCCACAAGTTTTCTCACTTTTACTCTTCTGATTGTCTCCTCCATCCCACCAGTGGGGAGTGAGCAAGTGGCTGTGTGGTGCTTAGTTGCCAGCTGGGATTAAACCACAACACTACCACAAATGTTTCTAAAAAGTCAAAAGATGCTCCTATTTATTAATCTTTGGTGATATGGAATCTTTTTGATTGCCAGCCATCTTTTCCAAATACTCTCATTAGTAATAGAATTCACCCCAGTACTACCTGATACCCCTCATTCACGTGCATGTAAGGAAAAGTTATTTCTCATAAACCCACGCAGAGACCACATGTTGATCAGATGGCAAATGAACCTGTTCTCTTTAAATCTGTTTTGTATGATTTCTACCACAAAAGAAGTTTGAGGACATGTATGCATGAAATATGGGGGGCGGGGGGGGAGGGAATCTATCTTGTGGGAAGATAGGACTTTTTTGTGCTAAACACATTAGACAAACTGATTACAGTATCAATTGCCTTTGCTGCTTGAGACAGTTTCTCTAGAAGAGGAAATGGCACAGTACATACAAAATATATGAAAATGCAAAACAGGTAGAAAGTATCATCTAAAAATACAGACAGAATTCCTGCCTGTTTCATTACTTAAAGAAGCAGTGTCTATAGACGGCATGGAAGAGTTTTAAATTCCACATTAACATCCGAAAATGTCAAAATCTGCTGAGAAACAGCCAGTCCATAAGGACGCATTACCAAAGACAGTTTCTCCTCTTCAGAAAATATGTTGGGATTTTTCCCCCCAACATTATGGAAACTATCACTGATTTCGATGATGTAAATGCAAATATGAGACCTTTGGAACAGAATGTTAAACCTTTCCTTCAATTCACAGTGGAGGTGGTTTCAGTCATTGTGGATTACCATACCGAGCTATGGAGCGCAAACAGATCCTTCAAAGAGTTTATCATTCTCAAGAAAATCCATTTTGAGATTCATTTGACCAAATATAGGAAGGCTTATTCAAGGTAGCTGTTTGTTTGGAAAAGTGTTTATTTTTATGGACAAGGAACCCTATTAGATGAGGGATGTAATCTCTGTTCTAAACTAAATGTTACCAAAGACTTAATTGTTGTCAGGTGCATGAAAGAATTGTAATGCCCTGCCCCCTCTCAGGGAACCAGATAGGTACTAGGGTATTTTGTATTGCTTCTGTTGTTCCTCCATTCTCTGGCAAAGCACTAGAAACACAGGAAGCAAAAAGACGCCCCATGTCTCTTTATCTAGTGTTGTCACGTATTAACAGTTTCTCTCCTTTTTTCCCCCACCAACTTCTTCAGTTTCTTGCTTAACAACAAATATGTGATCTAATGAGCACATCTCATTGATTATAATACCACCAATAAATCTCTTCTTTGACTTCAGAGGTCCAGTCATCTCAGATTCCTTTAAGGCTTAATCACTTAAAAGTAAGACTGCAAGTAAAATCACAAACAAATAAAATTTACCAATGCCCATGTATCTTTTCCCCATTCTCAAATATTTAAGGTCAGTCACGTTCTTTCTGTTCTTGTAATGTGACTATTCTTTCTTATATCCTTCCTTGCTACCATGTAAGAGATCATCATCCTGAGGAAAACTGATTTTCACACCTAAATAAACAGATGTATCACAAACCAGAAAAAAAAAAATTGTACCATAAAGCACATTCTGTAAATAGAATATGAATGTTAAAAATTCATCATCTCTTCTTATCTAGCAATAGTTACACTAGCTATTCTAAACCCTAAGTTTCCTAAAGAAGTCACTGAAGGGATTAATCTGGAGTAATTCTCAAGAAAATTCTAAAATCAGGCAGAAACCATATGACTTTTTTCAATCTCATCTCAATACACGAGGAGAAAGGAAAACACTGTCCAAATTCTACTGAAAAGTACACACTGTGAATGAAAATACCGATACCTGTTCCAAATACGCGAAGTGCAAGCCATAAAAGACCAAGAAGTAAAGTAAAATTCAATCACAACATAAAAACAACATCATCTGAAGTTCACCAAGCTTCAGTTATGATGAAAGGCTATGAGAACTAAAATACAAAACCTGAGATCAAAAACTAACTGCAGAGTTACAATGCAGAAACCCAGACTTTTAACTCCCTGCAGGCATGATGTGTCATGTTGGAGGGTAGGGAAGAAAGCAATTTCTTAAAGATTACCGCACACACAAAATGCCATGTAATATTCTATTCCTATTGAGAAAATGGATAGGGAGTTATTGCTACAGTTTGGATTGTAGTAATAATATAACTTTTTTAGTGAGTAGCTTTTACATAAGCAGGCAGCTTTGCAGGAACACAGTTTCTCTTACCAAGCATTTCCTTCTTCCCCAGCTGCTCTGACCAGTAGCTGCTTAAAACAGCATGGGCAGATCCTTAAAAGAAATTGGAAAACAAAGTACAGAATTAAATTAGAATCACTACTTTATAGAGCAAGCACATTCAAAATCTAAGTGCCATAAACAAATCAAGTGCCACATGTGTGTCTAGGGCAAAACCACCTAAGCGTTTGCACAGCAGACAGAACTTAAAGCTTTAACATTTCATTTATTTACAATAAAGCAGTATTACTGCCTCATCCTTTGGCTTCAATTTCGCCGAGGTGAGGGCTTCATGATTAGCCACAATTGGTAGGAATAACAAATAGGACCGATTAAAATACTTGAGCCAAAGTATTCATTTGTTCACCAAAAGTGAAGTTTCCTAAGAACAGAATCTCAAAATATTCTTCATCTAAACATGATGTTATTCAGTGAAACATGAACAGCTACCCATCAAAAATCTGAACAGGCTTTTGGATATTTTTTGAGAATAGGAACAGGTGGATAGGAGTCACTGTGTAAAACAAAAGCATTTTCTCTCCTAACAGTTTTCACAACAAAACCTCAGGGGTTTTTTTCAGTGTTGAATGCTGGTAAGCATCAGGATGTAACTCAAGGAGATCTTTAAGGTCTCGACCACAGCTTCGGAAAACTAAAAGACCAATTTCTTGTTTCCTGACCAACAGATGGCTTAAAAACTTAGGATAACTTCTCAGATTCATAGCTAGAAATGCTGCTTCAGCCTACATTAGCAGCTAGGGGCAAAGACACTCCGCTGGAAACCCTACTGTGAAGTAATGATAATTATCAGGGCTCAAGGAAACCAGGATGTGTAGCATTATTAAGAAATCATTACAAAGAAATATGATACAAAGCCATAAGACTGTTAAAATTGTACTTCAGCAATACAATACAAAGATTTATTTCTATAAAAGAAAGGACACAAAGATGGAAGACAAGCAACAGTGAGCTATAACAAGCCTAGAAAAATCTCAGAGATTCAAGAAACTTCTAGCTATTCCTACATATCAATACTAGTCTTCCCAGAAATCCTAAGGAATGAGCTCTGGGATTAGATATGTCTACCAGACTCTGTCCCCGGCTTTATCAGGAAAGCAGGACTGAAAGCTTAAAAAAAAAAAACAAAACCTGAAATACATGGATTATATTTCTTTGTAAACCTTTCTTTCTGCTAGGAGTGCTAAATAGCTAGCATTATTCCAACAAAGAGTTTTCTCTTTATTCAGCAAAACATTTAATGAGCGTTTTTGATCAAGTTCTCAGCTGACTAATAATTAACCTGTGATTAACTGGTACCTAAGCAAATAACAGCATTCTGCAGCAACCATCATCACACCTACTGAGTGGAACATCAAAGGAACAGGCAGAGAACTAGCCTTCCTGCCCCTAAATATGCAACTAGCTGGGTTCATATTATTCATAGGCCTGAGAATACCCACAAATAAGTGTCATGGAACCAGAGGAGATCTCAGCTGAAGCGCAAAAAAAAAAAAACAACCCAGAACACCAACAGAAGCGGATATGAACTTCTACTGCAATACTCATTCAGTATCAAACCAGTCCTTTGCTTTTCTCCAATTGGAATACTTCAGGGAAACGATCTGAAAAAGACACAGGAATATCTGGCCTGATGACAGCAAGAAGCTGATTTTTTCTGAATGAGCTGGCATCAGTCATGAAAGCTTTCAGTTTAATGAGCACACTCCTGCTGTCCATATAAAACAGTAATTTAGGAGAGAGAATCCAAAGTACAAAACCAGACTCAAAGTTTAATAAGAACCTTTTAATGGAATTGAAACAAGAGTAAGAGTCACTTATCACATAAACACATACCTGTAACAGGGTCTTCCAGAAGTCCATACCAAGGTGCAAAATATCTGGAGTAAAAATCATGGCCTTTATGTTTTCCACTGGGATTTCCCTTAAGAGTGAGTATGAGTCCTTTCACCTTTCCCGTCTTTTCAGCTGACAAAAAGTGTTGTGCGCTCACTTGCAGTTCTTCCAACACAGACCTTGAATATAATTATAGAATTTTAGTGGCCCATATTCTTCATTTTACATTAATTTAAGTATTGAAAAGAAACAGAAAACTACAAAATCATCTTCTCTACAATCCCAAAACAGCCATAGTAAAATGTTAGAGGAGACAAGATTCCTAGCATTGTCCTCCCAATGTCATTTGACAGAAGACTACCCTGAATATAATACACTCCGAGTGAGCAGAGAAAAAAGTTCAAGCCATGCATTTCCTATTTATTTCTGAAAACAAAGCATGCTGGAATATTAGCTAAAAAAATGCACACTTTTGTTTCAACATTTCAATCATTGAAAGAAATACTTCATCACTACAGAATGCAAAGAGTAGGCACTCCACCTCCTTTCAGAGCAAGCAAACAACTAACACCATTCAGATCTTCACGGGATTCTAAAGCACCCTACAACAGCTTCAAGTCTGTGAAGTTGCAGATACCTCCCTACAAAGTAAAGTCTGAAAGAATAAAAATAATAAAGTACTCAGCTGAGAATACTTTTATCTCCCCACTAGTCCAATCTTTAAACATTAGTTAGGCCAAACTTCAAGTGAAAATAATAGTGATTTGGCCTGATTAAAGCATTTGTGTTTCGGCAATATATATCCAAATCATACTCGACTTAACAATGAAATTCAGCTCTCTGAGATTAACAAATGCTTTGAAATCATTTGAATTGGAATTTCCTCTATAAAGCTACTTATGATGCTGTTAAGTATGTGTAAGCCGATTACAGTCAAACGGGAATAAGAATCCATGGCATTCTGTCAGTATGCCCTGTCTCACTAAGCGGATCTCTACAGCTATGTAACTATTACTCCTTCATTTGAGAAGCAAGACTCCTAATTTCCTGCTGGGTTACTGGATCATTTTTTTACTCAGAGGGATGGGGAAAATACGGCATCCTTAAAACTGTTTCCTACAGCTCCTTTTCTTGGAGATAGATTTCAGATTGATCTTATTCAGTTTTCCGGGTTCAATAAACTCACATGAGAAGATAAAACAACTACTTAACACCAGTTTAAATTAGAGTTTTTAATATCCATCTGTTTTAAAACTAGATAAGAGAGCCTAGTTTGTAAGTAACAGAGGTTAAACAAGCAGACTCAATTTCTGCACACTGGATTTTTTAAAAAAAATGTATAAGACACCTTTCATAAGCATCACTGAGGCGGACTAGGAGTTTCTTTGTGTCAGGAGAATAACGGAGATCTTGAACAATCATGTCACCAACGGCTGCCTGGTGAAAAAGTTAAAGGAGACAAAGAAAAGCATCACCATTGGAATACGAAATATTATTTCCTTAACATTTTCGTCGAACAAATTCCCTGCTAGAACAGGGCTTATGCAAGGTCTTTCACGCAGCCCTCAAGCACATGCAAGCAAGAAAAGTAAATGCACCAAGTGCATGAATGGATATGGGTAGGTGCTAAGGGCTCTGTATACGTCAACTTGGAAAGAAATTCAGGGACCTAGAAGAGCGCAAGGACACTAGATTGCTCTCACATGCATACAGTAGGCTGAAAATGCCACTAAAATAAATATTGACACTCGAGCCAATGGTAGTGGAAGACAAAAGTTCAACTGCAGCATTTTGGAGAATTCCATTTCCTGAGCTGCATGACTCAGACCTTTAAAGTTTAGTGTTTCAAGTTCAGGAGTACGTCAAGCAATGCCTTGTTGCCACTTTTCAGCCATTTTAATATATAAAAACAGGTATAGTTATTATAAATGTGCTTCTAAGACCACATATAGATTCTTTTTTTACCTTTATTAACTCTTCTACTTCCTGAAGTACCTGAAGCAAAAAAAAAAAAGCCACACTGTAAAAAACAGAGCATATATGTATATGTATCTATCCAACTACAGATAGACAGATATACTTACATACACATAGAAATGTAAACACATACTTTCCTTGAAAGCCTGTAATGAATAAAATTTTGACTGACCTGTGGGTAGGTTAAGTAAAGTGGTAAGTCCAGGACAATATGATCTTCCGCTTGTCTGGCTTTTAATTCCCCACTCAGCGTCACAAACGTGAGAACTGAATTTGTGTTTTCTAGAGAGAGAACATTGCAACATTATCAAACATAAGAATTTGAATCTAAGTTATTATAGCTCTTAGAGTAGCTCAGTATATTCAGAAAAAGTTACACAGCTAAAATATAATAACTACAGTAAACCTGTATTCTGAGACAAAATTCCCATCTAACTCAATAAATAATCTGCTGAGACTAATAAACACAGCAATTGCCAGTGAATCTTTCCTGCACGTTCCTAGAATGAATGGGAATTTCCTTTTAACAGAAAGAGCAATATTCCCTATTCATCAAATTCTACTGTACCTCTCCCAGATGCCATTTGCATATTTAGGACTTCTCTTAAACAAGAGTAATAGTAGGGCATCGGAATCCAAGTGTAGGCATCAGACTACAACCTTATAATGACAGAGCGGTTGGGAAAGACAATACCTAAGGTATCCCCATATGTGTTCTCTTAATTGTTCTGAATGTTTAATTGCCTTTGTTGTAGAAAACAGAGACTTTCTTAATTAGAAGTAAATTTTCTAAAAAGTTATAGTAATAAAGAGCTTGTAAACATACTTTGTATGTGAAACAACACAGCAGCTGCTGCAAGTGTAGCATGACCACAGAGAGGAACTTCACTGGCTGGGGTGAACCATCTGAGTCCAAAGCAGGAACCTTGAAAATAAAGTTTATTTAGCGGTATTAAGTGGAAGAAGTCTATTTCTTCACTTTATCTCAAAGCTTTACAAAGTGATGACATTTCAGCTAATCAAAATGCATGTTATAATCAGTCTTGGTCTTAAACACACTTTTAGGAACCTATTTTGTACTGATTTTTGGACTATTGCTTTTGAGTCACGTCAACAACAGGAGTCTACTGCTAACAGAGGAAAGCTGCTTTGTTACAAGAGCAAAGGGGCTGCAGAGTAGAAACGCCTGCTGGCCTGGGAACTAGGCCTGAGAACCAGAAGCATCCCTGAGAAACGCAGCTGGCACCTTTGAAGTGCTGCTGGGTAGCTAGAAACTGGAGACATGCAGAGATATCATCGGTAAGCACAAAACCAACAAACTGTAACAGCAACTTAGCACCTGAAAAGGTGAAAAATAGTCTGGGAACAGGGGAAATCATCCTGAGAAAGTAAGAACTGGTTACTGCCGCTGGCTGTTCTAACTCAAAGAACAGGAAAACAGTCTGGAAAAATAAAAACTGGTCTGAGAGAACAGAAAACACCATCATCTACTGACTGTTCCAGGTGAAAAATAGAAATTAACAGGATCTACTGGCTTCTTGAACTGGTGGTGTCCTATGTTCTTTTATGTCTCTATTGTATAAAAATTACTTAATTTTTACTGAAAATGGAGCTACTCTCTCCAAGAACTTTCTGTGCTGCATATATTTTTCCCTTTCCTAAACAGGTCTGCACAAACTCTCTGTGAGGTTATGGACCCTTGCCAGGGACACATGGCTGACTCCAAACTCCGTGACACAGATCAGCTTTGAAGTGAGACTCTTGTTTTACTGGTCCCCCTCTGGGCCCACTTCTGGGCTCGGTTTGGTTTGTCCTGCCACTTCTGAGATGGCTTCATCCCCTTCTGGGATCTGTTTGTCCTCCCCTCTGGAATCTATTTAATGTGCCTGGTACCATATATATAGATACACACGTAAGTAATCTATCATAAGTACATCTACTGTTATATTATTAATAAGTTTGATTACTGACTAGTGATGTTTGTGGTAACCTGTAATATTATATATATACACTTCTCACTGCTATTATTGATTCTTGCTATACTATTGATCACTGATAATAATTTGTAATAGGTTGAGATATATATATTCACTTTATTAATTATAGGTACACTTGCTAGTGGTGATTTTTGTGGTATTTGTGGTAATCTGTAATAAAGTAGAGAATTTAGAAGATAAAGCCTCCATGTCCTTGTGTATTATGGAATCCTACAAAGTCACGGTCGCGATCTCTATACACCTGCAGGCTGGGTTACCCTTTAAGGGTTAACAATAGTTTTGTTGGTATAATGGAACCTGTATCGGAGCTAGGTCAGTTATGAATTATTCTGCTTAAATCACCAGTCAAGTCTGGTAAAAGCCTCTAATGTATACTAACCCTTCATTTCACTAGAAATCATATTTCTATTTCTTGTTTAAAAAAATTGGAACCCAAGTTCACTATACTTGGTTTCCTGTAGCTTTTGCAGAGATCTTGCACCATGGCATTTAAGATAATGCTTACGAAAATATATTTCAAGTGAATAATTACCATACAAACACAACTAAAAGGTGCAAAAGAAACAAATGATATTTAACAAAAAAACCAAACCTGTGAAAAATTAGTGCATTGAAGTCAGTCCCCTATCTAAAGAAAACAAATAGAATTCCAACAAAACCTAGTGGATTAAACTAATGGGCATGGCAGAGAAGTGCTCTGAGACAGGCCAGACACAGAACCCAGCTGTGAGCCTTCCCTGTGGTGTTAACGCGCTCCCCCAAGTGGAAATCGTGGCTGAAAGCAGGACGAAATGGAGTCAGCCATGACTGACCAGAGACAGACAAGCTCTGTGACTCAGAACACCTGCCTGGATGCTTGAGACCTACAGCTGTACCCAGACTGAGAAGACATTTTGTACTCTCATAAATTAATGTATCCCTAAAATAATGCAGTTTTTTTTTAAATCACAATTAAATGAAACACACTGATCACAAACTCATATTTCTGCAAAAACATACTCTTTGCCCAGGAGCCCTTACTATACCAATTAATGTTCCAAAAGCAGATGATAGTCTTATAAATGACATTCTGATATTCCTGGTCTCCTCTTGCTCCTACTACCCCTCAATACACACATTCTCAGGTGTAGCTCCGTGACTAAATTCCTTTGAAAACATTGTGTCCCTCTTCAGCAGCTGTGTGGGTCTGATGTCACAAACTCTATTTCCATTAATATCAAAAGCACCTTAATGAGAAAGCAGCTGGCATTTGATATGCTGTTGGATATGGATGACTTGAAAATAAATAAATGTATTAAACATACTGGCAAGCTGTTAACATGAAAAATGTCAACATGAAAAATGAAAAGTATTATCACTTCTTGATTCAAGCAATTAATCTAACCCTAAAACAAATTCCAGTTTATTAACAATAGGAGTAAGTGATGATAGTTACTACTTTAAGAAAATTCTCTTTAATTACAGAGACAGTACAAAATCCCACTTCCTGAACAAACAATCAAACGATCAAGAACAGTTTCTTTGCATACTGTTCTAGGGCCTCTTTCAGACAGCCGATAACCCCAAAGCTGTTTATCTCTCTCTGCCACTATGTCACATCAAAGCGAGGGCATGTCAACATAATACCTTAACCTGGAATCTAACTCCAGGCTAGTGGTGTTTCAGCCCCTTGGCTCACGCCACCACACAACTGCAAAGTGAGCAGATTCAGCAAACTGATTCAGCTGAAAACTAATCCACAAAACTATTTTGACTAGGCTCTGTATTTGTCTGATATTTTCTAGCTTGTCTAGCATCTCTCCATTTCCTCTCCCATCATATATACGTGCCCTACCGAAGAACACCAGTGAAGTCCTTCCACTCAAACCAATCAAATGAGCAGCCTAATGTGTTTGATTTGGGCAACTTCAGACTTCCCAGTTTTGTTGGAAACCTGTATTTTCCAGTACTGGCTCCACAGACAGCTTATGAGATTTTGTGACAAACTCAAATAATAGCTTACAGTTACCCCAGTGATGATTTCCTGAACAGCCAAGCCAGATTCTACTCACTTTGTATGGAATAAGCACGTTACGTCTCTATTCTTCTGCTGGTATAAGACGACATTTTCTCAGGAGATTATTAGTTGTAATGGAAGTATTAATTGAAGGATCTTTGCATAGCATTTTTAGGAGAATTTCTATATACAACTTGCTTACTTAGTAAAAGGCACTAAAACAAGTGGCCCAATTTATGAATAATAAATGTTTGTATATGGCAAAATGAATTTGATATGCAGCACAAATACTTTAAAGAATCCATGTGCAAAAGGCTGATTATTATCTTATGTACAACACATCACAACTCCAAGATTTTGCTTTGGCTGTCTTACAAATTAGCACCATTCCTTATAAATGCACCCACAGTGTCTTCCTATTCCCTTGTGAGAGATTTTGGTAGGTAAACAGAACCACTCACTTTTGGTAAAGTCATCTCCAGGGTGCAGTTTTCTGATGAAAGCTGTTTCTGAAAGGTTCATTTCTGTTGCGATTTTTTGGTGCAAATCTTCATCCAAGTCCTAATGATGAAACAACAAATCCAATTAAAAGCAGACCAAAAAATGCAGAATCAAACTTTCTGTCAAATAAACACAGTAATTTCCTTTTCTATCATAAGAAAACATAGATTCATTTTTAGTTCAAAATACTTTCTGAGAGTAAAAAAAAACAACTTGAAGCATAAAATGGGATACCTAGCTCAATCATTGTGATACATGGGCATTTCTAATATCTGTCCTATTAGTTTACAAATTCTTGGAATACATGGAAAATAAAATCACCAAAAAACCTAAACTCAGTCTTTCCATGAACAGAAATATTTTTTAAAGTCATGATTAAACTCACACTCAGAAGTCGTTATTAACATAATCTAAAAATAATGACAACTCTCTTTTTATAACTCTGAAAAATCCATGCCAGCAAGAGGTATGCAGTACTGTCTAGGGCAATGGCCAAGATGGCTGATCAGCGCTTACGGCTGTACCCTCGACACTACTCTTTGAACAACAGGAACGATACGCTAAGTCAGTAGAAGCTGAAAAGAGATAAACCGAAAAACAAAAATGCTGGAGCTCACTGCGTTCTGCTCTAACTGCCTGCAGATTTAAACCAGTGAACATTGATCCCAGGATACATGAGCTGTAGCAACTGTATAAAATTCTACTTCACCCTTGTTCCATTGCTCTTTCCCCATAATTATGCTGACTGGCCAGGTTTGAGAATCTGGTCTTTAAAACATTGAAACACAAATAAAACAAAGTACCAAGCGGACCTGGTCAGGTTCAACCTCTGAGAGAGAAAAACTTGTCCTGCCAACTTTACTTATTTCCCTTAACAACTTTAATCCTTTTCAGACAATGATCCCATACTACAGATATGAAACAACTACTGGTGCATACCATAGACCTGCATTGGCAGAGTAAATTCTATACAATGACACAACATTCTGACTTTTCCAGTACCAAGCGTCTCTCCTCAGGAAAACAGTTCTGTCACTTAAGATACTAAAACGATACTAAACCAGAACAAAGACCAAACAAAACGTTATTAAAAATAATAGAACTTTATTGAAATACTGCCATCCTGTGGCACTTCTGAAACACAGAAAGGGCTTGTTTTGCCATTCTTGCATTGCTCCCAACGGTTGTCGTAAGGCATTTGCTGAGATTCTGAAGGGAACAGTGAACAGAAATATTGCTGCTAGCTGCGCAATAGTTTCTCGGAGCTTAGAATAAAATTATTCATTAGAATCTCAGCTTTAACTTTGACACTAAAGCTTCTAGCCCCAGGTACTGTAGAAAAAAAACTTTAAAATCTCAACACTCCAAAGGCAACATGCAAGTAAGTTGCCCTCACAACATATTAATGTAATAAAGTAAAATTAATATAAAAATACAATTAGAAGCTCATAGTTTTAAAGTAAGTTCATTCTGAGAGGGAGTAATTAGATTTTAGGGGGCCAAAAATACCTCTGAACTGAGATGTTCTCAGACATAACTTTAGCTGATCTGGTAAGTAGGCTATACTGTACGAGATCTAGATAGGCTTAGGAACATCTAGAAAGGATTCATATTGTCAGTACAAGCTACTGCCATTGACTGCTTTACATATATTTTCATACTTACAATTCTCATCAAGTGTTACTATACAAATAATATAAGGCCTATAAATTTCTAATCCAGCTTAATAATTAGTTTTTGGTAGAAATTGTCAACAGTGTTCCAATTAGTACCAACTGTTCAGAACACCTTGATAAGGAGGATGACTACTGTCAACTGCACTAAAACTACCATGCAACTTTGAAGCAATAAAAACTGGCTGTTTAAACTTGGCTAAAGCTGAACTTGACACATTAATAGTGAAAGACTCAGATCCAGGTCTCTACTCCCCCTCTTTCCTTCCATAGAAAAAGAAAAAAATTAAAGAGAAAAAAAAAAGGGGGGGGGGAAAAACCCCCACAAAAAAACCCACACCAAAACTAAAAACCACACTTTAATATTTCATTAAAAAAAAACCCTGAGTAATGATTGTATGGTATTGAATTTCCTTTCAGAGATTTCATTCTGAATCCATTGGCTTAAGAAATGAAGCCATTTCTTTTTGACTTAACTCAGAATGAAACCAGTATATTCCTTTAAAAAAAAAAATTTTAAAAACCCACAAAAAATATAAAGCATGTCTTGTATGAAATCGTTCGGATGGAAAAAGAGCACACCTGTGCTAATGACTGTATTCTGGAGCAACGGCAAACTACGCTTGCAAGCGGAGTTCCTAAGTAAAGGAAGCAAAGCCTAATGCAGTGCTGGGTGCTCAGGTCAAGTACGGAATGCTAAATGCCACTGCACTCCCTCATAAAATAGTTATTTTTTAAACTTACATTTTCAAGCAGACAAACTGCCGCAGGATTTCCAGAAAATGGCCGGTTTGTGAATGCATCGACCGTAAAAACAGGAATTTGCATTGTCGTTTGCGTCTATTTAGTCTTAACCTGTTTTCTGCAAGGTACTTTCTAACCTGTTTTACCCCCAAATGACAGCAGAACTCGAAGTTAATGTTTCCCTGACGGCAGGAGGAGCCAGCGGCCCCCATCCCGTCACTTCCGAGCACGGACATGGACTCAAGCCTCCTTCCACACCCCCAGCGCTCAGCACCGATTGTTTTCAACTCTTTAAAACAGATTTTAACCTCCTTCTTGCACCGCTTGCTACCAGCTCCAGAACGCTCTAACGGGCCCTTCCACCACCGGCGCCCGGCCCAGCCTGTCCCGCGGGGAGGCATTTACGAAGGCAGGAGCCAGGCGAGGTTCCCCCCGGGTGCGGCCTGCCGCGGGGCT